GCTGACGTTTCGGGCCTAGACCCTTCTTCAGAAAATGAAGAAGGATCTAGGCCCGAAACGTCAGCCTTCCTGCTCCTCTGATGCTTCTTGGCCTGCTGTGTTCATCCAGCTCTACACCTTGTTATCTCAGATTCTCCAGCATCTGCAGTTCCTACTATCTCTTGCTTATAACATAATTATTTTTCTGTTTTTTTAGCCTTTTTACTTTGCATGTCATGAAGATATAAGGAGAGTGTTTGTCAGAGACCCCTGTGCTGTTTGGTACTGAGCTACAAGTAAAAGCAGCACCATCAATGTACTGACTCAGAACTGTGCAATACGTTTTCGCTTTTAACTCTACACAAAAGCCTCTGGTTAATGGAATCCTTTGAGATCCTCTCGGGATGACCTGGTGGGGATCAGGATCATATTCATCTTTTCAACTCTTACTGGGAACATCTGCTATCACCTTTGGGCTACGCTGTGTCTTCAAGTGATCCACTTTTTAAGGACAGATCTGTTCAGGTCAAGGACACCGACATAGACACTGACTCTCACCAGAAACTCTCCTGCCTGCTTGTTTGGTTTTGTAAAGTCCCATCGGATTTTCCCCCTTGCCTTCCCTGAAGGTGCCTGCTCTTGCTCCAACTCATTAGTCACACAGGGTAGGTCAGGAATGCCTTTCACAATGCCAATGAGGGCACCTCAAAGACCCCACAGCCATTAAATGATTCCTTTTTAAAAGGTACACTCACTGTTGGAATGTTAACCATCCTACCTGACACCAAGATTGAGCCTGATTTTACTCTCAGTCAAATTCCTAACACACTGAGGTGGAGAGGTGCAATGTCACCTTTTAGCGGTGAAGGGCTTTTTGGCATAGTGGTAGTGTCCCGACCTCAAAGGCCTGGGTTCAAGTGCCCCCTGCTCCACTGTTGTGTAATAACATCTCTGTATAAGTCGATTAGAAAATATCTCAAAAGTGATAAGAAATGGACAGGCTGATTTGTACCTCCTTTGAATCCCCTGTTCATTCTGCTTAAAGCCAGTTGTTAATCACTTGTTTTCCAGTGGGTATCAATGGATAATGATCTGGGAAAAGGAACCTTGTTGGATTGTAGTCCCTCTCTCCCTGGCTCAGACTGCAAAGGCAACTCTGTTGCACTTCAGCTGGTCTGAGAAAGGTCAACTGACTCAGCACCAAGCAGGTCATAGAGTCATAAAGATATGCAGCACGGAAACAGACCCTTCAATCCAATTCGTCCATGCCAACCAGGTATCCTGTATAAATCTAGTCCCTTTGTCAGCATTTGGCTCATATCCCTCTAAAGCCTTCCTATTCATATACCCATCCAGATGCTTTTTAATGTTGTAATCATACCTGCCTCCACCACTTCCTCTGGCAGCTCATCCCATATATGCACCATCCTCTGTATGAAAAAGTTGCCCCTTAGGTCCCTTTTACATCTTTCCCCTCTCACCTTAAACCTATGCCGTCTAGTTTTAGCCTCCCCCACCCTGGGAAAAAGACCTTGCCTATTTACCCTATCCATACTCCTCATGATTTTATAAACCTTTATAATGTCACCCCTCAGCCTGCGATGCTCTAGGGAACATAGCTCCAATCTATTCAGCTTCTCCCTACAGCCAAAACCCTCCAACCCTGGCAACATCCTTGTCAGTCTTTCTTGAACCCTTTCTAGTTTCATAACATCCTTCCTATAGGAAGGAGACCAGAATCCACAAACTCAAGAATTTTCTACTCAATTTAACGGTGTTCTTCTCCATCTACCCACTCAGACATCAGCAACAGAAGACAAGATCTCTCTTATTATTCAGTTTCTCATGTGCCTCAGAATGGTTCTCATGTAAAAGCTGTTATATATAGATGCAAATTATTGTTATTTGGTAACTGAGTTTGTCCAAGCCACAGCGATCCTGTACTTCTACAGCCTGGAATTTCCTCGTTGTGTAAATTACATCAAAATTTATGTCAGTCACTGTGCCAGTCTTGCCAATGGGAACTCATGTCTTGAATTTCCCACCGAGCTCTTTCTTGGTCAGACCCAGCACAAAGCAAGAACCATCTAAACAGCACAGTCTTCCCTTTAAAATTATGTTCAAAATTGGCAGATGGTGGAGAATCAAAGTTTAACCTTTGTGTGAGTATTTCCCTGATCAGAACAGACAGGAATAGAGAGGCACAGCGGTTGTTGCCAGATGAGGGTATCTGATTGGAGGAGAACTTGTGCGCCTCCTCTACATTTATGCCCTCCTCCTTCAACTGGGAGTGTTCAATCTACACAGACCCCTGTTAGTAAGCGAATCAAAGCATTGATTAATGGCCAAGGGAATCCAAACACCATAGAACTGGTGGAGGAGCCTGTTGTGGTGTCCATACCCCTGAGCCTGGAGGCCCAGGTTCAAGTCCCATCTGCTCCAGAGGTGCATAATAACGCATCTGAACTAGTTGGTTCAAAAATATCTTTAGAACCAATGTAGGCACAATGAGCCAAATGGTCTCCTTCTGTGCTGTAACATTCTGTGATTAGGTTGTTTTGGACACTGTTGAAAGAAATGGAAGTTATGCACCTACATGCTAACACATTTCATTTTGTGCTCCTTTTTCCTTTAAACAAATAAATATAGCACAAATAAAATGGATCTTCATCATGCCAACTTTTAACAAGTAGAACCTGTTAAGAAACCTAAGTGTGAATCTTTTAGAATTCCAAAGTTGAACAGGAACACTGCAAGCAGTTTTAGTCTCTTTATTTAATGAAGGATGTGAATGCATTGGAGGTGGTTCAGAGGAGGTGTACCATACTGTTATGCCGAATGAGCAGGTTATCATATGGCGAAAGATTGGACAGGGCTTGTTTTCACTGGAATTTAGCAGAGTGAGGGATGATTTGATTAAAATTTATAAGATCGTGAATAGACTTAACAAGATGAATCTGGAAAGGATGTTTCCTCTTGTTGGTGGCTCCAGAACCAAGAGGTGCTGGTACAAAATAAGGGATCACCTGTTTCTTACAGAGACAGAGTTATAGAGATGTACAGCATGGAAAAAGACCTTTCAATCCAACTCATCCATGCCAACCAGATATCCTAAATAAATATGGTCCCATTTGTCAGCATTTGGCCCATATCCCTCTAAACCCTTCCTATTCATATACCCATCCAGACGGCTTTTAAATGTTGTAATTGTACCAGCCTCCACCACTTCCTCTGGCAGCTCATTCCATACACGCACCACCCTCTGCGTGAAAAAGTTGCCCCGTAGGCCCCTTATAAATCTTTCCCGTCTAACCTTAAACCTATGCCCTCTAGTTTTAGACTCACCCACCCCAGGGAAAAAAAGAATCCTTATCTATTTCCTTATTCATGCCCCTCATGATTTTATAAACCTCTATAAGGTCACCCCTCAGTCTCCAACACTCCAGGGAAAATAGCCCCAGCCCATTTAGCCTCTCCCTGTAGCTCAAACCCTCCAACCCTGGCAACATGCTTGTAAATTTTTTCTGAACCTTTCAAGTTTCACAATATCCTTCCTATGGCAGGGAGACCAGAATTGCACGCAGTATTCCAAACATAGCCCAATGAATGTTACGGAGACTTTTTTTCTTTTGCAGAGGTTTGTGCAACTTTGGAGCTCTCTGCCTCAAAACAAGGCAGAGGTGGGTCAGTACAGAACACCATAGAATCCCTACAGTGTGGAAACAGGCCCTTCAGCCCAAACTGAACCTCAGAGCATCCCACCCAGACCCATCCTCCTAATCTACACCTCCCTGAACACTATGGGCAATTTAGCATGGCCAATCCACCTAACCTGCACATCTTTGGACTGTGGGAGGAAACCGGAGCACCTGGAGGAAACCCACACAGACATGGGGTGAATGTGCAAACTCCTCACAGACAGTCGCCCGACGCTGGAATCAAACCCGGGTCCCTAGTGCTGTGAGGCAGTAGTGCTAACCACTGTGCCACCATGCCACCCTAATGATTAAATTCTTGTTAGACAAGGGAGTCAAAAGTTGTTGAGGATAGATGGGAATGTAGAATGCTAAACACAAATAGATCAACCATGGTCTTATTGAATGGAGGAGGCAGAATGGCCTACTCCTGCTCTTGATTCATATGTTCATATGCTCATAGAGGTTAAAACCAGATCCCTGATTCCTTACAATTTTCTTTATTATTATATTGCACAGTTGGGCTGGTCTTAATTTGAGGCGTGCAGCACTGAGAATTTTTCCAACGTAATGCATCAATCTGTCTCTTATTTGTGGGAAACCTCAGATCAACCACAATTTGATTGAATGACAGCACAGCTTTAAGGGGATGCCTCACCTCCTCATGTTCGTCTAATCTCCATTTTCACAAATTAGATAATAATGATTAAATAACTGATTGTAGGATCTCTGTGGAGGTGCTTAAGTTGACAAAAGATAAGTGGTAAAGAATTAAAGTCTGTGACCACTGTGCTTAAGAACTTACACATAATCGCAGTTCAATCAGGGGAGGCAGTTCATACAGTCAGTTTGAACATTAATTGAAATCAGTTGAGGGTTCACTGGAGGGGAGTTTGAAGAAGTATTTCAATCACTTGTGCTGATTCTATTTGACAATTAGAATTATTTGTATGGAAGGAAATAAAGATGGTGTATCAAAATGAGAAGCATCAATCACTATCAAAGTAATGTTTCCTCAAAGTAATGAAGGCTTTGAAACCAAGAAATGCAGTGACTCCACCAGTTAGTTCAATAATAGGTGACTGCATTATGCCTCAATTATTGAGGTAATTACACACTAGTGTATCACTGCAGTAGATGTGGAAGGCTTATGCATGTTGCTCTTTAGCCTGGTGTGGTTATTTGTGAATGGGCAGCAGAGGTCATTGGACATGACACATGTGGTCAAGGAAACTTTGTTCTTGTGAAGTTGCAGCATAAAACCAGTGCAAATCAATTATGCTCAAATTTCCTCTGGAAAAATATCTATTGTTGATCTCGTGCTATGTTGCAGTTACATCCAAACAATCCGGAAATATCTGGGCCATAAATTTTTATCACATTGCTTTATAAATTCTGAAGATGTCCATGGATTGTGTGTCTGAGTGATAAGTTGAAATACAACATTTGTCATTTTTAAATCTTTATTTTTCAATTTCTACTGAAGCAAGGATGTCTTGTTCCAAACTATACAGCAGATTGACAGATAAAATATGTGACCTGTCTCTCTGATCCATTCAAGTTAAGCACCAGAATAGGACACATTCTGGGAATTTGCATTTATCTGGGGGCTTTAATCTGGAAAAACATCCCACAGTCAGCTTCACAACCAAAATTCGATATCAAGACCAGAAAAAAAGTTGATTTTGAGAAGCTGCTTAAGAAGAGGGAGATGTTGAGGGCCAGAAAGTTCTGGGGAGAAAATTCCACAGATTAGGCCCCAAGCAATTGAAGGCACAGCCATCAATGGTGGAACAAAGATAATCAGGATGTGCAAGGGGCTTGAATTTGGAGAAGCAAAGAAATCTTGTTAGGATGAAAGAGGTTATAGAGATCATTGTCAATTGCTGCTTTAAATTATTGAATGTGATTTCCAGAGCTGGTGGCATAAGTCATATTTGTTACATCAATAGGTGATGTGATTTAGATCAGAAGTAAAGGTAAGTGCAAACTATATGAAAGTCGGCAATTAGATAACCAAATGCTGCACATGCCTGTCCTTAATCTATCTCTTAAAACTTCTAAATTACCGGAGACATAATATTTTCAGCCTAAAATAAAACCTAGCTTGAGTGTAGTAAATTAATGCATTTCTGGATTACTCAGGAGATCAAAATCAGACTATAATCATTTTAACTTGAAGAGGAATTCATCTTAGAATGAAACCAAAGTGACTTAATGATACAAAGGGCATCATCATGATTTGAGTGAGTGGTTCATTGGGCCTGAGGTCAGGCAAGAAATTGACGTCTTCATTGTCATTGGATCTTCATACATGTACGTCCTACTTGAGCAGAAGCAGCATCACACATAGTGAGGGTTGTCCCTGTCATAGTCATAATTATGCACCTAAGCACTGAGTTAAGTCAAAATACTATTAGAATGAAGCTTTCATGTGTGTGTTCTCAAATCCCTTTCCTATTTAACTATAAGTGCTTAAGATGGGAAGAATTCTTTTACTCGTTATTTTGAACATGATTAGAAATGTAGTAAAGGTTTCATCTAATTGGTATTTGTAGCAAAATAGCAAATGTGAGTGCAACACTCAGCAAAAGAACATTTTG